ATAAAGGTATGCACCCTGCCAGTGGATTTCTGATAAGAAAACAACTTTTAATTTTAAAATTAAAAATATGGGGCTGCAGAAATAATTCAGCAGTTTAAAGCAAATATTACTCTTGCAGAAAACCCAAGATCAGTTTCTGTACCCATATCCAATAAGTTACAACACGCTTGAACTCCTGCTCCCAGGGATCCAACACCCTCTTTAGGGCCACAAAAGGCACCTATACACAAATGGCATGTGCGCACGCACACACACACACACGAATAAAAATAAAACTAAACCCTTAAATTTTTTAAATAAAATTAAGCTAAAAAATTTACAAATGAAAAATTTTTAAATTAGATCACAAAGGTTCTGTTCTATTATTGAGCTGCAAACTAAAGCAGAATCCCCAAAAGAAGATTAACTGCTTAGTTTACAATATATAAACACTGGGTACTATTCTTAGATCTTATGTATATTGTTAATAGAGCCTTACAAAACCATTCTTCACATCCCCTCCCTACTGGAAGATGCGCCTCTAAATACATGCGAAAATCTGTCTTAATTAAAGCACACAGATTAGAACGCAGTATTTTGGGTATGGTCTGGTCAGTAACAATATACAGTAAACTAACACTTCTCACAACCGAGGCCGTTTCACAGTGAATGCACCAAAAAACCTGCCGAATGTCATCACTTACTTGTGATCTACTTTTTACATTACCTAAAGTTTCATCACCAAGCCTCCCCCACCTCCACATACATTTTTGAGGCATTATTAGTCTAGGTTGTCCTGGAACTTGTTATGTAGACCATGCTACCTCCAAACTCACAGTAATCCACCGTCTCCCAAGTGCTGGAATTACAGGCATTTAGGCACCATGTCTAACTGCTTTTTGAGACAGGGTCTATATGAGATCCTATAGCTCAGGCTGGCCTCAAAGTTGCTGAACTAATGATCTTCCTGACTCCACCCCCAAGGCCTGGATTACAGATGTGTGCCACCATACCCACCTCCCTTTTTTTTCCTTTTTTTTTCTTTTTCCAGAGCTGAGGACAGAATTCCGGGCCTTGAGCTTACTAGGTAAGTGCTCTACCACTGAGCTAAATCCCCAATAATCCCCCCGCAACTTTTCTTAAAATTGATAAACAAAACTTACTCAATTCTATCCCTAAGTTTTTCAAAATAACCTTTGAAAACTGTTAAAACCAGAAGTTGAGAGACAGCTCATCAATTAAGAGCATCTACTGCTTTTATAGAGGGACTGAGTTCAGTTCCCAGGACCAACATCAGACAGCTCACAATCACTTATAACTTCAGCTACAGGGGAACCTCTGGTCTCCCTGGGTACCAGCCCTAAGAAGTACACACCCCTACACAAATACACACACCCGCTCCTCTCCCCCGCCCCTTAATTTTTTCTGTAGCTCTGACTGTCCTGGAACTCACTTTGTAGACAGGTTGGCCCTGAACTCACAGAGAGTGCCGGAATTAAAGGCATACGCCACCACACCAGGCTAATTAAATAAATCTTTAAAACAAAAACATTTAACTAGTACTAGCAAGTTGCCTCAGTAATTGCCACCAAGCTCAATGACCTGAGTTTGATCCCAGGACCCATATTATGGAAAGAGGGAGCCAACTTCTTCAATTTGTCCCCTGCACAGTGTATGTGCATGCACACAAAATAAGTAAATAAATGTAACTGAAAGTTTTAAACATATATTTAAGTATTTTTTACGTGTTAACACCAGTCTGCATACATCAGATACAATGTTAAGTCACTATGGTGAACATGAGAATAACACACACACAAACACACGCACACTTGGTTTTAAAACACTGTGATTATTTTTGTTTTCCAGACAGGGTTTCTCTGTGTAGCTTTGGAGACTCTCCTGAAACTCACTCTGTGGACCAGGCTGGCCTCCAACTTACAGAGATCTACCTACTTCTGCCTCCCGATTAAAGGCATGAGCCACCACCGCCCAGCTCAGTGTGATATTTTATAAAGAACATGAAGTACAGAGTGCATGTGTATAAAAATTTTTTATACACAGGCATAAAAATATTCTTTTTAAATTTTGTATTTTATTATTCAATGTATGAGTATTTTGCCTGCATGTGTGTCTGTGCACCACTCAGGCACCTAATGCCTACAGAGGTAAGAAGAGGGTGTTAGATCCCCAGGACTGGAGGTATAGATGGTCGTAAGCCACAATATGGTTGCTGGGACTTGAAGCCAGGTCCTCACAGAGCAGTCAGTGCTCTTAGCCACAGAACCATCTCTCCAGCCCCAAACCATTAGTCTTTGAAACTACGCAGAGTAAGTGAAAAGGTACTAACATTTATTTACAGAAAGTCTTGTGCTAGATACTTCCATACATTATCTATCTATATTAGTCCTCATTCCCCTGTGATCAGCTGTGAAATTTACCCTAGAGAAAATAAGTACACGGCCCAGATGAAATGGTCAGTCTGTCCAAACCAGCAGTTCCCAACTTTCCTAACGCTGTGACCCCTTAATACAGTTCCTCACATTCTCGTGACCCCAACCATAAAGTTATTTTCATTGCTATTTTTTTACTGTTATGAATCTTAATGAAAACATCTGATATGCGGGATATCTGATATGTAACCCCTGTGAAAGGGCTGCACAAATCCCTCAAAGGGGTCGAGACCTGCAGGTTGAGAACCACTGATCAATCTGCACATTTCCCATTACATTTCAATCTGCACATTTTCTCTTAACTTTTTACAGGGCTTTAAAAAAGAAGGGAAAATTAGAATTTAAGTGATGGTGAACCTAATATCAGTCAAACTTTCAAAAACTTAAAAATAACAAAACTGAAATCTGACTTTTTTCCTAGGCTATGTAAAAACTTGCTATTCATTAACTAAGCTTCTTAAACTTTTATACTTAAGGACAGAAGAAACTAAACTCAGCTAAGAGTTTACTTGGCGTCAGTGAACTCCAACGGGAAATCTACTTTGAAACCTCTAAATGTTATCATAGAAATTAGTGTTAATACTGCCTTCCCGCTGTGTTTTGCACAAACACATCCAACTCTTCATGGGAAATTCAGGACTCCTTCCTGTACCACTTGCATGCCTACAGATCAGTTTCTTATTCATCCTCTTCTTCGTTTCTGTTGTTCTGGGGATCAAGCCCAGGGTTTGTAGAAACTATAACAGTATCTGTCACTGAACGACACGCCCAACCTGAAATGGTGTTAACACCTGAATTTAGAAAACTTAAGTCTGAGGGAATAAAGCTATGTCTTCAGTAGTCAGAACTGGTGAATCACGGTGAGGATTCCAGTGCCAAACATAACTCAAGTTATTAGTAACAGCCTGATTTGTAAGAAAGCATCACTAACCCTCACATACAAGAAGAAAATACCCTCTCTCACCTACATCACCATATAAGCAAGAAAAATTTTTTTTAAAAACTCTACCAAGAATGGGGATACCCCTCAAGTGTTCCCATAATTCCTTTTAGCCCCTGTAATAAATAAGGTCCTAGGACTAGAAATGTTAAAAAGGTTACAGAGAAAACGGTAATGATCCTTGTCTGTGTCCCCTCTAATAAGAGGTGGTCAACAGATGCCTTCATGTTGTCTCAAGTGCTTGCAAATGAACTGTTCTCAACATCACAGTCCCTCTCAGACTCCAACACCAGGCATTATTCCTATTTTACAGAACGAGAAACAAACAAGGTCAGTGATGGGATACGTATCTCTTCCAAGACTGTAATTACAGTACCAAAGAAAGAGATCCTAAATCCAGGCAATATGATTTCTAGGGAACTGAACTGCCAAGAAAAACTGGACATTTTTCTTATTTTGAAATGTTTTTCAAACTGTAGCATATACCAACCAAGTCATATGGTGTCCATTCAGTGAGAAATTATTTCACAAACAGCAAAAGAGACTGTACAATTATGTAACTAGAAATATTGGTTAACGCTCTTGCTCTCCTATGATACATTCCTACTATTGATTTTCATAAAAAGGGACAAAACTAGGAAGCGGTAGGGTGGGAAATAAGTTAAATGTTACACACTCACACACACACAATAATGGCACCCCAATTCAAGGACTTTATGTTGCTTTACCTATGGGTTATTTAGTTGTGTTTCCCATTTACATGTTATTTTGTTGTTGGAAGCAATGTACCTTCCCCCAAATCTTAATGTACAATGATTCATTACATCTCCCTTATAATGAGACCTCCAGAATGTGTCATATAAAGGAAAATTGGCTCCTCGGCGGTTCTCCTTTCTAGTAAAATGTAAGGAACATATGCCAACACTTGAGACAAAAAAAAAACTGAACCTGTATTTTCTGTGAAAAAGATTTACAGCCCTTTTAAACCTGTATGTTAATTTCTGTGTCATTAACTTTTTTATAGCATTCTATGAACTCTACAACAAAGGGGGAAAACTAAGTGTCAGGATTTCAGCCGATGAATCTGGGTGGAACAAAGACTTCTCCTTTCATTATGCAGTGAGAACCAAGTTGCCAAAAAAAAAAAAAAAAAAGGAAACCAGAAGCTCCCCTCAGACATCATTCGTAGTTGCTAATTGCATGACTGGATGTATAGGAAAAAATCATCAAGTCACACACTACCCCTGCCTATCTTGGTCCCTACCCTTTTGCCAAAGGCGTCGTCCCAGAGCTAGAGCCCCAATCTTTTTCTCCCCAATACAGCTAAGAGGATTAACCCTTTGAGTTCCACAACCCCCCTCCGGTGTCTTTCACGCAGGCGTCCCCTCCCCCACGCAGCACAACCCGCGTTCGAAATTCAGACGACGTCCCTGTCCCCACCCTCCCAGACCCCCGAAGGCCTGCTCCTAGAGACCACTGACGTCAGAAAGGGCAAACAAGACCCCCCCACACCCCGTGTCTCCCCCCCCCCATCCCGAGCCCCGCCACTCCCTACCATTCGCCGAGCCGGGAAAGGGACAAGAGCGCAGCCCTCGGTCTCGTTCCAGCCCAGCACAGGGGCCAGGCAGATGCAGCGCAGTCAGCCCGCCTCGCGCCCCTCAGCAGCGGCGGCGAGGTGGGTACCCCAAGCCAGGGCGAGGCGCATCGCTCCGCCGCTGGAATCGGGCTGGCAACCAGGGGAAGGTGTGGTCCAGGAGCGGCGGCCTGGAGAGGCGGCCTGGCGGGTCCCAGGTCCTGTCCCCTGGTCACCCGGGCCTCACCGGCGACCCATCTATTCGCCGTCGCCACCCAAGCCTACCCCAGACACTCCTCCCGCTCGCGACCACCACCCAGGGGGGCCGTGGGTTCTGCACCTCATCAGGCTCGTGACAGGTGGCGACGGGTGACCATGGCAACCCACGGTGCCCGGCGGCCCGCCCCCGCCTTCTGGAATCCACTCACCTGAGGGCTCCGGGCGGAGCCGGCACAAGCGGCGGAGGGAAACGCGGTAGAGAGGCCGGCGGCCGGAGCCGCGAGGCAGCCGATCCCCCGGCTGAGGCGCGAGCGCGAGGGCGGCGGTCGGGGCTGAGCAGCCCGCACGTCAATCCATCAGCTCGGCACCCGGTCCCCGTCGCGTCCGCCCCAATCCCGCCTCCGACCGCTCGGCTCCGCAGACTGCGGTTGTCAAGCGCCGCTGGAGCCGGGCTCCAGCCGCCAGCTGCAGCCAATCACTGCCCGTCCCTGGGGCCGTCTCAGGACCCCTCCTCTCCTCGCGGGGCGGCTAGGCAGGTGCCTGCGCGGAAGAGACTCGGCTGGGCCGGCCCGGGAGGATAGGGCGGGGCCTGCGGGCGGGGCCTAACGCGGAGGGGCAGGAACTGAGACTGGGCCGCCTGGAGGCTCCTGGCTCTCAACTTCTATGCCCTTAAGGATTTGGAGACTCCGGTAAGAGGATCCAGGCCCTGAACCATCGGGTGACGGGTGACGCTGTGTCCCAAAATAGCATGGACAGGTATGGTGGTTTGAATGAGAATTACCCCCATAGACTCATACATTTGAATGCTTGGTCCCCTGTTGGTGGACTGTTTGGGAAGTGGTTCTCAACCTGGGGGTGGAAAGACTCTTTTACAGGGGTCGCATATCAGATCTTCTGCATATCAGACATTTACATTATGACTCATAACAGTAGCAAACTTATGAAGTAACAATGAAAATAATGGTATGATTGGGGTCATCACAGCACGAGAAAGGTATTAACGGATCACAGCATTAGTAAGGTTGATATCCACTGGGTTAGGAGGCGGGGACTGCTTGGAGGAGGTGTGTCCCTGGCGGGTGGACTTTGAGGGTTCAAAAGCCCAGACCATTCCTAGTTAGTTCTATGTCTGGTGCTTGTGAAGCAGATGTAAACCTTTTAGCTACATACAGTCTGCCACGATGTCATGACTTACTCTCTGGAACCCTGAGCCCAAAATTAAATGCTTTCTTTTAAAGTTGCCTTGGTCATGGTGATTTGACACAGCAATAAAAAAGTAACTACACAACAGGTCTGACACTTCCAGATGTAGAAGACCTCTGTGCACTTCTAATATATATATTATACACATGTACACCATATATGCATACATATATATTATGGCTTCCACTGTTATTCTACTTCATATATATATATAATTTTTTTTCAAGACAGGGTTTCTCAGTGTAGACTTGGCTGTCTTGGAACTCGCTCTGTATACCAGGCTGCCCTCAAATTCAGAGATCCACCTGCTTCTGCCTCCCGAGTGCTGGGATTAAAGGCGTGTGCCACTACTGCCCGGCCAATAATTTATTAATAAAGGTTATATTAAATAAATCTTGCTTCCTTCCTCTTTTCCATACTCTACTTCTTTCCATTAAATCTTAGCAGCTTGTCTGTCCCCTTCCAGTTTCTTTTATTTATTTTTGTTTTGTTTTTCAAGACAGGGTTTCTCTGTGTAGCTTTGGTGCCTATAATGGAACTAGCTCTTGTAGACCAGGCTGGCCTCGAACTCATAGAGATCTGCCTATCTCTGCCTCTGAGTGCTGGGATTAAAGGTGTGCACCACCACCTCCTGGCCCCCTTCCAGTTTCTTAATATGTAAAGCTAATTCTTCCTTGAAGCACTTCTCGGGGTCACTGGTTTCCTGCCCTTTTATTTACAGCAGCAGCCTCGCTCCTACCATACTTGTGTAGTGGTGTTCTCCCAAATATGTGATGCTCACGGAGCTGAATTAAAGCTTCAGGAATTTTAACAATATAGAACTATAGAAGACACCCCTGGCATAAAGAATTTTGTCCAGCCAGGTGTCCAACACTTGGGAGGCAGAGGTGAGCCAATCTCTGTGAGATTTGGCCAGCCTGGTTTACAGTCAGTTAGGGCTACAAAATGAGACCCCCCCCCATTCTAAAAATAATTATCCAATTTTGAAAAAAAAAAAAAGCCAGATGAATCACGGCATTTGAGAAGCAGAGACTGGAGGACTGAGTTCAATGTCATCCTCAGTTATACAGAGTTCAGGGTCATCCTGGGCTACATAAGGCTCTGTCTCCAAGAAAAAGATGGCGCATCAGGTCAAGCCAATGCCACAGACTGATGGACTGGGTTTACTCTCTGGTAGCCATATGATAGGAGAGGGCAAACTCCTGCAAGTTGTCCTCTGATCACCACGTGAACGCTGTGGTTTGTTCAAGGCCAGGCATGCTGGTGCAGCCCTTTAATTGGGCAGGATCAACAGTATTGCAGGTTGGAGGCCAGTCTGGGCTCAGCTACATAGTAAAGCCCTCCCCTGTATCAAAATAAGATGGGACTGGAGAGATGGGCTGTGGACAGTGCTTGCCGTGCAGTTGTGAAGATCAGGGTTTGGAGCTCGGGCTCCTATGCAGGACTGGTGGCTGCCTGCAATCCCAGAGATTCGCAGGCAGAGGTGGGATCATGGGGGCGAGGGACACAAGGGGGTGAGGGACACAAGCTGACTGATTGTCAAGCTCTGGGTTCAAGGAGAGGTCTTGCCTTGATAAATAGGGTGAAGACACCCAGTGTCAACTTCTGGCTCCCCATGCACACATAACGCACATACAAAAAATAGGAGGAGGGAAACCTGGAAAGATAAGTCAGAGTTTAAAGGAAAAATTGTAGGGAGAACATTTTTAATTTCAGGGGGAAATTTTTTAAAATCTGAACTTCAAAACATCAATTGCTCAGTTGACCTAAATCCTGGAAGAACATCATATAACAAGTATCTTAATCACTGTTCTATTGATGTAAAGGGACACCACAACCAAGGCAACTATTATAAGAAAAAGCATCTAATTGGGGGCTGGTTTACAGTTTCAGAGTCCATTATCATCATGGCAGGGAGCACCGCAGCAGGCAGACAGACACTGGGGCAGTAGAGGGGAACTACATTCTGATCCACAGTCAGAGAGAGGCTCTGGGCCTGGCACAGGCTTTTAAAAACTCAAAACCCACCTTTCAATGACACACTTCCTCCAACAAATCCTCACTTGCTAATCTTTTCAATCCTAATAGTGCCACTCCCTGGGGACTAAGCATTCAAATATATGAACCGATGGGAGCCATTCTTACTCAACTACAAGCCTGGCAGAAATGAAAATCTTCTGAAGAGAAATGTGTGCCCTCCTCTCAGTTACTAGACTTTTGAGACAATAGTCCCTAGGACATTGGAATTTCCAGGGGTGAGGGAGATCTCAAGCTGGGAGCAAGGAAAGGCTGAAGCTGGTGCCATCCAGAGGAAGACTTTGCAGAAAAGAGATTTCACACAATGTTTAAAACTGGTTAGACTGCCTGGGAGCAGAGGCTCCCTCTGCTTGCACCTAAACCTCATGTCAGTACCCTGAAGACAGACTTGGAGGGCCACTGGACTCTGTTCTTCTCCCTCACACAGCCACATTGAATGTGATCTTTCTCCGCCTCTCACTATGACTTGTCCATTTAATTGACATATGGAGGTGGCGTACTGAGGACAGATAACAACCTAGGTTATTAGGGTTGCCAGGCCCAGGTTCTGACCCGAGCAACTCTGGTAACATTGATTACGAATCGTCTCAGTGACGGAAGAATTAGGAAAAGAAATACAAACACAATTGTTCAGGTGGAAGCTCCACCTCCGCCCCTGCCCCCCTCCAGACCCTGTGTTCAGAAAGGCCTCCAAACAGCAGCTCCTCCTCCTGAGATGCTCCTGAAGACCCAGCCCCTAGACCTCCCATGTGCTTCCTCTCCTACCTTTCCTGAGAGTCACCCAGGAGTAGCTCTACTCTGTTTATTAAACATGGTCTTATTAATTTGGCCGGATTTGGTTTACTGCATTGGCAGAGAAACCCACAACTGAGGATTTTCAAAATACTTATCAATAATCTGACATTACCTAGGGTCCTCATATTTTAAAAAAAATGCTCTATGGAACGTTTGAACCCAACAAGTGGCAGAATGATAGATAGACACATCCTAGAAACAGCCTCACTCTTTGCCAGGATGCTTTGCTCGCACTGGGGAATTTCAACTATGCCTCAATTTTGCCTGCCAGGGGTAACAGCATCTAAATATTTAAATCTTCAGTGAGATCTAGAAAGACACCAGTTAAATTCAATCAGGTAAGTGTGAACAGTCAGAAATGTGGTAGAAGGAAAACAACATCCTGTCTTTCCGGTACTAGGTTGCTTTGGGTTGTCAGGACGCTCCCCGCCCCTTCCAAAGGCCAGAGGGCCTTTTCTCCCACAGGCAGGGGTCCAATCCCAGCTCACAGGTCTGGACTGGTCAGATATGTTCAAGGTCAGTCCTGAGCTGGGCTCCCAAAGCTGTGGGACCTATTAGCTTCTCTTTGTTTGTCTCAATGACCAACCGAACCTCAAGTTAAAGGAACGAACCTGCCCCATAGCACTGTAAATACTATTTGTCTGCAGCTGGGGGCCTAGAAGCTCCTCTTTGTTTAAAATGGCCAACTCAAAATTAGGGGAAGGGCACCTATTCCAGAACACCAGCAAAGCACTGAAAGTTCCCAGTACTCCATGGGAAAAAGGGCCTTTAGCTCCCGAATCCCTCTCTGCTCTGTGGGGAGTCTCTCTGTGTGCTTGCTGCGTCTGTGTATTCACTTTTAATAGTTTGTGCCTATTGCTGTGTGTTATATCTGAGATTTATCCCTGCCTTTTTATTTCTTTAATTAGCTAAGAAAAACAAACACGATCGAGATGCCTAGACAGTAACATATAACTCTTAAAACCTTATTTCCTACCCTACTTCCTTGTATCAACCCAGCATTTTAGATTAAAGAAGGTGAGCTTTACTCTGATGAAGTAGGGGGAAGGGAGGATTTTGTTTTATGTATGTTGTGACCCCCATACTCTATGATATAGTGCTACAGTATACATCTAAATTTTCAGTAAGAACCAGCACTGTTAGAAACAAATACATACTATTTATCCTTCTGGGGAAAGGGGGTACATGTAGGAAATGGACGAGACTGGAATAAGACAGCTGGTACCCCTTACCACTCATACGTTGACAACATCATGACAATTTATATAAAAGCCGGAGGTCCCTGGTATGCTGTACGCGAGCCGGGAACTAAGCCTGGAGACTGAAAAACACACGCACACACAGACAAAGAGACAGGGACACGGGCCATCCTTGATACAAGAATGCCAATGCATACTTCACTGTGCTCAGGGGCAGCTTATATAGGGACCCTTAGCCATGCCCAGCTCTCGGGATCTTTCAGCTGCAGGCTTCATCAGGCTCAGAGCAGGTCTCATGCTCAGAGCAGCTGCAGGCACAGGTATTTTGTTCAGTTCACTCCAGCAGG